GAACGCATGATGGATTTTTACGCTAACTTGGAGAGCGAATCCTGCATGGATGAGTTCCTGGATAATTTACATGACAGTTTTAAGAATCGAATGCCATATACCTTTCCATACTTTTTTAGCATCAGAGAAACCTCTTACGATTTAAGAGGAAATTGTATTAATCTTTGCCTTACCAAATTTAGTCTTATGAGGAACTCTTTTACTTACAAATGCACTCAACTATAGGACAAAGTTCTAGAAGATGTCAAGCTGGCCAATGATGTTGATGTTTTTAAGTCTAAGCTAAGATCAATTCAGCTGTAATTTTTATGTTTTTTAATATATTTTGTGTGTAAGTTTTATAACATTTTGTATTTGTGTGTACATAGATTACAGATTATGTATTTAAATCTTTTTTTCTTTTACTACTAGATTTTATTATTGTAATTGTAGATTTAATGCCCTTCGTAGTTTGAATGAGCACTTGTGCTCTTATATAATAATGTCGTTAGATAAATTATTGATTGATTGATTGACCATCAACTTCAAGAAGCAAAGATGGAAAGTGCGATTGGCTAACATCAGTTACCCTCTTAAGCCTCCCATGGTAATTATCTTTTGACATGATATGAAGAGAGGGTGATGTGGTTCTATGTGGTAGTGTTTCCGTGGTACAAGATTTTGAGGCCAACAAAGTGGTGGTCACTAGTTGGCTTGACTTAACTTGGCTTGAATTACTGGCTTACCGACACACCTTAAAAAACAGAGTAGAGCTCATGGAAATGCTGGTGGATTATTACAACGGAGGAGTATCTGGATACAAGAAGGCAGTTACAGATTTAATCATTGAAAAATATGACAAAATAAGGGATGACCCCAGGGAGTTAGACTATAGTCTTACTCAGGAGAAAAGGCTATATTACATTTCTATGGGACAAGGATGACTTATGAATTGACAACTATCAAACTGGAAAGAGTACAAGGATGTGTCTGGAAATTTCATAGGTGCACAACCATACATTCAATTTGGTTTAGAATTGGCTAAAGCACTGAACTGGATTCGTCATGATGTTCTAAATGATGTCTTGGAGCTAGCAATTCATAATCTACAGATTAATTCCCCAGAAAAACCTGCAGAGAAACCTCCCAATTGTTGGATTAGTTGCTTATTACATCAGACTTCCGGTGTTCTAGTTAGCAAGGCCCCGTTGCAGGTTGGGGGCCATGTGCTTTGATGTTCAGCCATCTTGTATGTACTTCATCTGTGTACGGAATAAATCTTTACTTTGAAGCCTAAATATTACATGGTGGCAGTGGTGAGTAGAGACAATCAACATTAAACAATGCCAGGAGGCGAAGAACAGAACACGTCAGGCACGGGGACAGTTAATCAGGCCCACACAACCACACAAATTCCTCTCCCCGGAAAATTCGAAGAGGCAAACAGTCCACAAGCAGCAGATGCATGGCCAAAGTGGCTTCACCGATTCGACCGGTACAGAGCAGCGTCAGGGCTAAACAGCAAACCACCAACTGAGCAGGTCAGTACTCTCCTTTATGCAATGGGCGACAGTGCCGATGATATTCTCCAAACGCTCCGACTAGACGAAGGAACTGTCTCATACGATAAGATTAAGAAATCGTTAAACGACTATTTTGCTGAATGTCGAAACGTAATCATGGAGAGAGCACATTTTAACAAAAGGTCTCAGAAACCGGGAGAATCTGTTGAGACATTTATCCAGGATCTGTACAGATTAGCAGATAATTGTAACTACAGTGCGTTAAGGGATGACTTGATTCGAGACCGAATCGTAGTGGGGGTACTTGATGATTCACTTTCTGATCGACTTCAGTCAAAAGGAACTCTTACACTCACACAAGCCGTTCAAATGAGTCGTCAAGCAGAATCTAGAGCACAAAACCGTGATATCGTCCGTGGGGACAACAAATCAGTTCAGGTCGAATTTGTTAACCCAGGAAAGTCAGGAAATAAAAAACCACCGAGCAAAGAAAACTCCAAACCTACCCCAAGCTGTGGATGGTGTGGTCATGAAAGACACTCCCGCCAAGCATGCCCTGTGAAAGATGCTACCTGTAACAAATGCAAAAAAAAAGGACACTTTCAAACTGTTTGTCGTAGCTCTGCACTGCCAACAAAGAAAGTATGGGAACTGAAAGAAGATGAAGAGCAGGAAGAGGGAGATGAGGTTCTGTTTCTTGGAGAAATTCAGACCACAGGGGGCGGTTGGACTGCGCAACTCGGGGTTAACGGCCAAAATACTCGCTTCAAGCTGGACACTGGTGCTGCAGTCACAGTCATCGGTGCGAATACCACATGGCTAAAGGATCAGAAGTTAGTCAAACCAAAACAAACCTTGCGAGGCCCTGGAAATATTCAGATCCCAGTCATTGGCATGTTTCAAGCCAACCTCTCATACCGCCGTAGGAAGGTCACTGAACTAGTGTACGTCATACCAGACCAGACCTGTCCACTACTAAGCAGAAATGCCTGTGTTGCGTTAGGACTAATCTCCTGTACTGATGAAGAAATTGGTGATGTCA